TGGTTCCAACTTGGGCATGTATAATGACTCGCACCCTTACTTACTTAGAGGCTGCTAAACATGCGTGATGTTGTTTTGTGATGCCGGCTGTTTGGTTTGTTTTAATCTGGTTAGAACATATGAGTTGTATATGGAGGATCATCACAGACATTATAGGCGTAGACCGGCTCTGATCATGCTTGAAAAGTGGGTGCAGAAACCCTCCCAGCATGTTCTTAGCACTCCTAGAAAGTGGTCTTCATCAGGATTATTATTGCGTTACCTTGACATAGTCACTTATGCTCCCTGCATTTATATCGCTGCCTTATTGATAGCCTATCTGTTGTTGGTAAACAAGAAGACATGTTTTAATTTAGAAGTTGTTTTTACTGTATGTTAAATGCATGTTTGTTTAACCCCAGATCACTAAAGTACATTAATGTAGAGTAATTATATCCGGTTTTATATAATTCAATTTTGTCAAAGGTGGATTTTATGACAAATGTCTAGATTGTCATTCATCACACATGAAATCCATCACATATTAATTGAGTTGCACCACTAGCCTGTATAATCTCTTAAACCTAGTTTGTAATATAAGAAAAAGGCTGTTGGGATAGAATTGTGCTTTTCAGACAAACCATAAACAGAGTGCACCAGGCATCGCCCAAAACCAGTCGACTATACTAACAAGACTTAATTGTATTTCCTAGAAAAACGTATTTGGCTGTGTTTATACTGCAGCCCAATTCTGATTACATCCACTAATTAGTCTTTAAGAAATCAGTTAAATCTTTTCACTGCAGGTCTTTGAAAGAAATTGGAATTGAACCGTTTGCGTGTACAGAGCCATGGTCTGCAAATGCTAGGAGCATGGCAGACAGAATCTGATGGTTGACACTACCAACTCTGGACAATATCAGGCTTGTTGTGTTTGCACAGGCAGATCAATTCACACCCCCTCCCAAACATTAACAATTGATCTGAGTGGTCCACAATCCAATCACTCAAACATTATTTGAATTAGGCTCCAGTCAGTTTACATTACTGATCCATATTAGTTTATCTCTTCTCCTCCTTTTCTTCGGTTTAAAAGTGAATTCTCCCATTATCTTTTTGAAAAGGGTGAAATTTTCCTCCAATGTCAGAAATATACCTGCAATGACAAAAGTCGAGTCTTTGATGTTGAAGCGAGATAGGAAGTAATTAAATGTTGCCGGGCAACTTCTGACATGAATTATGAAGAATAAGGCTGAACTCGTTAGCATTTCTTGTCAGGCAACACCATCACAATACATGACAAAGCTCATTCCTGTGAAGACTCGCAGAGATTTATTTAAATTTATTTTTCCTTACAGCCTTTTACAGTACATTGTTAGTTCACATTTATATTACAGTTTGGTATGTTTCTCCAAACTCAGGTAACTGCTCTCAAAACAGTTAACACAGCAAACTAAACACACTCTTATGTTGGCAAAACAGTTAAACATTCACTGCACAATGAAACACAGCATTTTATTCTAGTAATGCATGTATTAAAACTCAATATTAACATCAAAACTAAAAGTGTGTACTCTGTTGATTTGATAACAAATTCAGCAAATTCAGACACACAAAGAAATAAATGAAAATACATGTTTTTCATTAAGTTCTTTAATGAGGAGTTCAGGTCTATAACAATGAGTTTTTACCCCACAAAAAATATGCAAATACAGTAAGTACATATTTAAATAAAAAGTTACATGTAAAAACAAATGCATTCAATGAATCAATTAATTTATTGATCCTGCCTCGCAATTACATCTGGCCAGAGAATTTGATCAACATTTCACTTACAGTAGCATGGAATAGTTTATGGACACATACTTAAAATTCTGAAAAATTATAACTTTGTGTTGACAGTAAAAGTGCAGTAACTGGGTTGCACATACTTGAACAAACTGCAATCGCAACTCCTTCACTCTAACGGAGTTCCTCTCAAAGGACACTTTGTATACTTGCTTCATTCGGATTTAATTTCTCCTTAGAACACGATCAGTTGTGGAAAGACTGCATTGGTGGATATTGTGGAACAGTTGATTGTCCTGTATTATTCTTTGCTGAAATTCTTTGAGGCGGAGGGCATTGTTCTGGACCACCATATCAACAATGGCATGCTCTTGTTCAATTGAAAGAAGTCTTGTTCGTCCACCTGAATGTTCGCTAACTTCAATTCTGTAAAATGTTTGGACAAGCAGGAACATTTACTATAGAAATCTAGACCTATGTCAAACAAGACTACATGGACTCTCATTGTAGAAGTAGAATGATATAGTTACTTACCGGTTTTCCCTCTGAAATGTGAGGATAATTGAAGCCACTGTGGATCTGTTTATATTGGGCTGAACTCTGCCCAGCTTCACTCAGTGAGAGACCATGATTTATGACATGATCAATAAGTGTGGCTCTGAATTCATTTGAAACACACATGTACCCTATCCTTCTACCTCTCCCCCCTCCTCTTACACCTTGCCCTCCTCTTACACCTTGATCTCCTCTTACACCTTGCCCTCCTCTTACACCTTGCCCTCTTCTTACACCTTGCCCTCCTCTTACACCTTGCCCTCCTCTTACACCTTGCCCTCCTCTTAAACCTTGCCCTCCTCTTACACCTTGCCCTCCTCTTACACCTTGCCCTCATCTTACACCTTGCCCTCCTTTTACACCTTGATCTCCTCTTACACCTTGATCTCCTCTTACACCTTGCCCTCCTCTTACACCTTGCCCTCCTCTTACACCTTGATCTCCTCTTACACCTTGATCTCCTCTTACACCTTGCCCTCCTCTTACACCTTGCCCTCCTCTTCCTCTCTCTCCTTATATTTTCTACTCTTTCTCTTTCCACTATACCATTGCCCTCTAGTCTATCTATTTCTCTTTCTCCACATCTTCAGCTCTTCTTGCTCCTTCTCCATCTCCATCTCCTCTTCCTCTTCCTCTACCCTGTCCACCACCTCTCACTCTTACACCTCTTCCTTTTCCACTGCTCATTCTCCCTTTTTTATTGTATTTTCTCCTCATTCGTCTTTGTTGTTTTTCTCTTCCCCTTTTGTAGTTGTTGTAATTAAGACGGCTGTGTGAACAATTAGGAAATTGGCTTTTTCTGTGTTGAGTGGATTATTAACTCATCAGATATCAATTTTGGGTTAGTTGAGGACATAAGGTGTGCAACAGACTATTTTACAATTCATAGAGTTTTGTTTGTTGTGTTTTGAAAATGGTAGAAAAATGCTTGTGATCTTTGTGAAGACCAAGGAAAAAGCTACCAATGTTTTTCCTGATATATTAAAGATATGGTTGGCTGTATGAACTGCTGTGATAACATTAGGGAATTTTGTGCACAGTGTTTTGAGAAAATTATGCTTTTGATTTGTAATTTGTATGAAATGAAGGAGAATTTACTTTCTGTTTAGGACAATTACAAAGTGTACCGATCACTGTGTTAAATGTTTTGAGAGCCGTTACCTGAGTTTGGAGAAATGTACCAAATCGATTGAGAAAAACTGTAACTGGTGAGCGAACCCGTTAGTCACAAACTGTTTCCTCTTCCTTTTTGAATCACAATTATTTTTGCAAGAGGTGAAATGCAACCATTACCTTATTTCGTTTGGATCTACAGCCCCTGTGTTTCCACAGATGGGCCTTGTTTTTTTTTTGTTGAAGTGATTACAGAGTATTTTTGTCTCTGCAAAAATCCTTGAGACGTTCTTTAGCTTTGCAGCGTGAGCATCTTGACTGCATGCCCTTGTCTGCCTTTTTGTCTTTCTACAAGAAGGTTTCTGTTCTATTTTTAGATGATTTCATGTCCCACATCATATATAGTAATTTTGGATTCTTCACATTTTACAGTGGCTCTTAAACACGGCAAGTATCGGGGACACGTTTTCAATTGCAAACCTTTTCTAATCAGATCCCAGCTTGTACTAGTTACAAATAGCATGTAGTGAATCTGACCATGAATGAATGAACTAACCAAGTTGTTGGACCAGTGAAAAAACATTTTCATGGCTGACTCTTGAAAAGTAAAGTTTCGATTTCTCTTGCTTCTCAAGGACATTTCTTACAACAAAATAAGTATTACCTTGAAAAGTAGAAAATAGAAGAGTATAAACGATAAAGAAATGCACTTGACCATGTTCAAGTTGAAGGGAGTTCCTAAGACTTCACAGGGGCATTTCACCCTGGGGGACCCTTTGCTGGCTTGTATCATGTTTGAGAGATTTCTAGGTCAGTGAGATTTGTTTCACACATAATTGGCCAGAAGGAGCCATGCAATGGGATTTGCATAAAGATGCAACACACGAGACCAGCACATCCACTAAAGGAGGTGCAAGATCTGCAAAATAATTGCAGTCATGTTTTCAATAATTTTGAAAAGCCTCTTTTCATTTTGTGTAATTGCATTTTTTTCTGAATTGGTAGAGCCTTTGGATGCATTCAGCAATGTTCCTTCCAATCAGCCTATACTGTACAGTGGATATACCAATGCTACACACACCTTAAAATGCCATGTTTTTGTGATGAGACATTGACATGAATCATGTCAGAACTTTTTCCACCTTTAATGTGACCATAACGTGAACAATTCAATCGAAAAATGAACTGACATCTTTTTAGAATATGAGGCAGGGTGGCAAGACCGAAGAATTTTCTTATGAAGAAAAACATCCAAGCCCGGCTGAAGTTTGCATGAACTAACATCAAGTCTCCCAAAAGCATGTGGGCAAATGTGTCATGGTCTGATGAAACCAAAGATGAACTTTTTGGCCATAACTCCAAAAGGTATGTTGGTCGTAAAAACAACACTGCATATTACACAAAGAACACATCATCATGCTTTGGGGCTGTTTTTCTTCAGCTAGAACCGAGGGGTTGGTAAGCTTGGCCGTTAGTAAGCTGAAGAGGAAATTCACCTTTTAGCATGACAACGACCCAAAGCACACATCCTAATCCTTAAAAGCATGGCTTCACCAGAAGAAGGAGGAGATGGTAGCTCAGTGGTAAAGTGCATGCTTTGTATGTGTGAACGTCCAGGGTTCAATCCCCATTTTCTCCCCAGGTCGCTGTTTGAAAATAGAATTTCCTCTCCTACTAGGTTAAATACAACAAAAATGTATCTGAAGAGGGTTGTGCAAAGGAGATGTTCTCACAATCTAACAGATTTGAAGGACATTTGCAAAGACGAATGGGAAAATATTGTCAAGATGGGCCATGCTAATAGACTCCTACCCAAAAAGTGTGTAGTGCTGTAAAGAAATCAAAAGGTGCTATCAAAAGTTTAAGGGTGTGCGCACTTATGCAACAAGATTATTGTTGGTTTTTATTTTATTATTTCCCCCCATCAAAGATTTCAGTTTTTTTGTTTTTCAATTAAATTGTTTACGTTTTAGGTCACTTTAAAGATGGAAAAAGTTCTGACATTTAACTTTGTGTGATTTCTTCACATCACCAAAAACTGGAATTTGACAGGGGTGTGTAGACTTTTTATATCCACTGTATATTGATAAATGTATAAGGCATCACAATTTTTCTTCTTCGTAAAAAGTTTACAACTTCTTATTTCCGACTGTAGCCCAGTCGATCCCCAGTCCTGTCCTTTCCTATTCCCTGAATGCATTTCGTTATTGAGTTTGAATCCAACCAGCTATATCGCCACCAACTGAAAAATGAGTTAATCGTATTGATTTGTGCTTTGTTTATTGCTAAACAATGGCTCTGGGAATAAACGTACTACTTCTTTTGGGTAGTCTACGGTTGCAGTTGAGAGGGAGGACATATGTCCATCGAGAACAAAATATTTCTAATAAAAAAACACAAGAAGGCACAAAACAGAAAAGAAATACAGTATAGCGTTACAACAAGGAACATAATCTGAAGCATGACCAACAAGGCACACTGGGGAACGAGGAACTTAGAAAGGCAAACAGTGATAAGGAACACAGGTGAAGGCGATAACTAGAAACATATGCCCATGATTCATATGAGGAACAGAGGTTGTTGGATTTGATTGGTTGTTAGATTTCACTGGCATGGCAGGCCGGCTTTTCTATGATGTCACAGGTCGGTTTAGAAGCGACGTTGGTGGTCTGTGTCTAATTATGTTTTCTTGAAAATGCAACAGTACTCATTTTTGATTTGGCCTTCACTACTATCAATAAATCATTGTCGGAAGCTATTTGCCCACATAAACAGCTTCCGCCTGTCGAGTGAATTGAAATTATTTGTATCTGTTTTTTTACAGCACAAACAAAAATTCAGTTGTTATATCATGAACATGTAGGACTATTAAGTTGCGGCTATTCAGAGAACTAACAAATGGATCCTGTAATAAGTTAAGAAAGGATGAATTTGCGTGAAAATCTGTAATTTATTATTTTGGCTGGTAAAAGTATACGTTCATGTTGCTGTTTTTGTCAACATCAAAAGGTTGACTATTCTCTATGTAAAACAAGTACAATAGTGTTGACAGTCAAACACAAAAACAGCATTAATTGTCTTCTCAAAAGAAATGTCTACTAGTAAATGTGTTTTAGTGTTGTTGTTTGTTTGACACAAGCGAGATAAATGTGTCTGTAATGTCCTCCAATTAAGATCTCTGCATAGATTAGTATCGGGGTAAAGTACATCTCCACCAGGCAAACAAAATGTGAAAGAAAGACAACTTCTCACGCTTGCTTGGAATTAGTTTAACATGGCACAGAACACCCACCACACAGTCATGATCAACTTCTGTGTTTTTTAATCTTCCTAATCACGTCTTATCTGTTTTCTCTGATTGCCATTTCGTGGATCTCCAGAGCAGGATCTTGACCTGAACCAGTGCACCTGGGTGTAGTTACTGTTAGTTTTCCTGGAGTTCATATAAGTCTCTAGAACTCTTAAACTAATTCAAATCTATCTATTGTTGGTTATTCTCTGAAATTAAAACTTTGAGTACCATGTAAAACATAAAACAATAAACGCATCCACAGATCCCCCCCGCCCCCGCCCCCCTGGTCAAAGGGCTGGAGGTACCTCTGAGCATGGGCAAGAAAAAGATAATTATACCCCAGTGGAGTGTGAAAGTCAATGGATTTGTAGCCAGGAAATCAATGAGGCTTAATATTAAACCAAGTGAGTGCCAGTGGCGGATCTGCATTGAGGATGTCACATCTAGAGCTACCAATGTGCCTTTTAACCAGTCTCCCAGCCATACTGTATGGAATGGATGAAATCCTAACTAGATAATGATTCTCCCATGATTCCTTTAAGATTAGCTGGCTATTTACTTGGCCAATGAAAACAAATCAAACTCCTCCCATGCAATTATTAATGCTTCGCAATCTTTTGTCGTAATTTTTGTTTTAATATAAAGCGAAGACCTCATGAATTTCAATGATGTCTCCTATGCATTTCAAAATGAGATCTTTTAATCTGCATTGTCTCTTTGAAAATCAGACATTTTCTAAGTGCATTGTAGGGCTGGTTCTACTGATTTGCATACGATCTATTTACTGTGCAGTCTTACAAATTAAGTGCAAAATTCATATTATATTTACCATTCATTATTCATGGATCGTATCCTCTATGAGTATGTACATTTCGAGCATACCAGGTGCCTGTAAACATACCAGAAGCCTGTGAACATACCAGAAGCCTGTGAACAAACCAGGTGCCTGTAAACATACCAGGTGTCTGTGAGCATACCAGATGCATGTGAACATACCAGGTGTCTGTAAGCATACCAGGTGCTTGTGAACATACCAGATACATGTGAACATACCAGATGCATGTGGACATACCAGGTGTCTGTGAACATACCAGATGCCTGTGAACATACCAGATGCCTGTGAACATACCAGATGCATGTGGACATACCAGGTGTCTGTGAACATACCAGATGCCTGTGAACATACCAGATGCCTGTGAACATACCAGATGCATGTGAACATACCAGATGCCTGTGAACATACCAGATGCATGTGGACATACCATGTGTCTGTGAACATACCAGATGCCTGTGAACATACCAGATGCCTGTGAACATACCAGATGCATGTGAACATACCAGATGCATGTGAACATACCAGATGCATGTGAACATACCAGATGCATGTGAACATACCAGATGCATGTGAACATACCAGGTGTCTGTGAACATATCAGATACATGTGAACATACCAGATGCATGTGAGCAGCCAAACCATAAAGTAGTTATTCAGTCAAACTATCGATCACATCCATATTAACCAAAACATTTGTGATTTGTACAGCCTGAAATTCGTTCCAAGTCAGATATTCCTGTATAACTGTAGGACCAAAGGATGCTTGGTCCTCAACTGAGCATCACTTTTCTCACATTATTCCTCAAGGGCAGATTTATATTACGACAAAATAGAGGAAGGCTGCCATGAGTGCTGGTTTCTGATCCTCTGCCTGTACATTTTGATTCCAGGCAGAAATATCATAAAGGGAAACAGATGAAAGACCAAGCCTGACAAAAGCACTGATTGTGACACCTGCCAAGAAATTCCAGTTCTTGTTATTTATCCACATCCTTTTGGAACTGAACATTTCTACTCATTGCAACATGTGACAAAGTTTGCATCCAAAATGGCACCCTAGTAGTGCACTGCTTTTGACAGGCGGCCCTAGGGTCGGCAATGCAACGTAATGGAATGTAGGGTGTCATTTTGGATACACTTTGGGTCTCTAAAGTGGTGTAATTATTGTCCTTGCACTCAGTCTATTTTACTCCTGTTGATTACTGCTCTGCACTGTGCTCTCAATCTCGTCTAAGGAGCTCTCTCCATAAATGTGAACACCAGAGTCATTCTGTATACATTTGTATGTTGTGTTTGTTCGCTGAGCTGTGTTGCTGCTTCTTAACACGCACGCTGCTTAACCAGGAAGTGTTTACCAGTACATGCTGTGTTGCTGCTTCTTAACACGCACACTGCTTAACCAGGAAGTGTTTACCAGTACATGCTGTGTTGCTGCTTCTTAACACGCACGCTGCTTAACCAGGAAGTGTTTACCAGTACATGCTGTGTTGCTGCTAACACGCACACTGCTTAACCAGGAAGTGTTTACATGCTGTGCCGTGCAAAAGTTTGGGGGCACTGAGAAATGTCCCTGTTTTCGAAAGAGAAGCAAAATGTTTGTCCATTAAAGAAACATCCAATTCAGAAATACAAAGTAGCTGGAAACAGCTGATATTTTTATGGAATATCTACATGGGAGTACAGAGACCCATTATCAGCAAACATAACTCCTGTATTCCAATGGCACATTGCTAACTGATTATTAGAAAACCCTTTTGCGGTTGATCAAAGCAATAAAACGGACACTCTTTAGAACCGTTGCGTTTGTGTGTTTGATAATTATCTGAAATTGGCCTAAAACTAAAAAACGTTCTTTTTTAATCTCTTCAGTCTTTTTTTGTTTTGAGAAATTGCTAAGAAACTCAATATCTCGCACAACATTGTGTACTACTTCATTCACATTAGTTAGTTTGAGAAACGGGCGCCTCACAGATCCTCAACTGGCAGCGTCATTATATAGTACCTGCAAACACCAGTATCAGTGTCAGCAGTGATGAGGCAAGAATTCTAGGCAGAATTTCCCTTCTGTCCAGTGCTCTTTTGCCAATCTCAAGCTTGTATTATTATTTACTAGTCTCAGATTTGGCTTTATCTTTGCAACTCTGCCTAGAAGGCCAGCATTCCAGAGTCGTCCTTTTCTTGTTGACGTTTAGTTTCTACAAGTCTTTGAATAACAGTTATTTCCATCGTAAATTTAGGGAAAAATGCATGACCTAAATTCCAAAATGTCTTTGAAAAATAATTGGACTTCTCTAAAACTTTAAGAGGCACAGATCAAACATTTCTGCTGTCTAGAGATTACATCCCCTGTACTTCTGTGAAGGGGACGGGATCCCGCCTACCTCAGAGGTGAGGAGGGGTTACTGCTACTCTAATTACTCAAAGCTCATTGTGGTTTTTTTGAAGACACAACCCACATTAACATAGATTTTAATTTCAAGTCTATTTTTGAAACGGTAAATAATTCAAAGG